CAGTAAGCAAATTCTCTTTTCCTTTGCATTGGTGTTTATTTCCAGATAATCATGAAGTACTTCAAGATGTTGTCTGCTGAAACCAAGATCGCAGTCTTGTCCATTAGTTGTAGGGTTAATTGTTATTTTGAGATGAAAAAGAACTAAAACCAGAAAATCTGTTTGCTGAATATTATATAGGTTGCCATGTTATCATTGGTAGTAAAATAATAGATTAATTTCAAAGACTTCTTTCTATTTCATTTATGAATACCCTTTATTTTTACCATTTATGCTTTTGTTTTTACCCTTCGTTTATGGATTTCATTTATTTTTGCCTGTAATGACATGACTGTACTAAGTATGTTCTTCTTTTAACTATATTTATTGCCTGTTCTGCTATATCAACATTGTAAATGATATGTCTTTTTTTCTTCTTGAGTTTAATTCTACCTGTGCCTGTCAACAAAGCACGAAGGTGTAAATCATTAGAGAAATTGCTGTAATTTTGAATATTTGACTTTCAAAACCAGCTATTTCATGAACAGGTGCTAGGTTAATTTTTGTTAATTAGCATTTCATAAAAGTATGCATGTAGTTTGCAGAAGTAGCTTTGTACTTAGTTTTGAAAATTATTGTTCTGGTCTGGTACCCGCTCAGCTGGGTAACCAGTTTTGATCTTTAGCCTTTATTATTCTTCACCTTGAGTATTATCTTTTCTGCAGTAATGATCACACCAGAATAATCTACTAAAAACAAATGTTGTTGTTCAAAATCTAGAAATGCCATGATGCCATTTTTGCTTTTGTCTTGGGTTTTCTGTATGTGAGTGCAGAAATGATAAATTATAAATAATGTCCTAAAAGCAAATGAAGCATCTCTGTGCATCTCAACTTCTTCCACTTTTTAATTTGAAGTCAATATCAAGATGTGTTTTCACTTAGTACAACACACATTGCTGCAAAAATGAAAAGTTCATTTTTAAGTTTCATTTACGTTGGCTACCACTTACTTTACTTATTCAGTTTATCAAATAGGTTTAGCCTAAATTCTGGGGGTTTCTGTGATTAAGCAGATGTTTGCTTCTCTATAAAACAACTTTGTGGCATAGAGTTTGATACTAATAAATGAAAGGTGATGGTACTAATTCTCTCATGAGATAACATTGACTAAGCATTTTCTTTTTAGAATGAGAAGCAGTCTTTTAAAGAAGATATTACTAAATTTGGTTTCCTTAATTATCAACTGTTTAAAATTGGGTGAAAAAAGTTACTATTTTTTAAGTGAAGCTACATACATATAGCAGAGGATCTATTTTGTTTGTTTTCAAGATGTAGTGTGTCTGACACTGCTTGTTTGAAGGCTAGCCTATGTTTTAAAATGTCTACCTATTTATTATACTCTGGAGATAAAATGCCAAGTGTAATATACCCGAAATATTCGAGATTTAGGTGCAAAAATGGGCAGCAGAAATATAAAATGAATGCCAAAAAGCAAAAGCCTTGTATACTGATGAAATTATTTAAAAGGATGCTATCTGTCTGCTTCAGTAGACCACACAGATTTCCTTTAATTAAAGAAAGGAAGGAGAGCCATGTCATGCTACAGTGCCATGCAGGCTTGTTCCCTGTACAGCCTCCTGAAACTTTATGTGATGTTAGAAGCTTTTCCTGTGGAGTTCACCTTGTGCCCTGTTTGACAGAGTTGACCTTGCACTGGAAGATTCAGGGGACAGTGAAAACTAACATGTATGTCATGTCACAAAAAAAAGTCTCTGCTTTGATTACAAAGCCACACAGTGGTTAGAAAAGGTTGGATGGATACAAGTGTGAAAGGTGAGATCTCATTCTCAGAGAAGTTTCAGCAGATCCTTCCTTTCACAATTAATTTCTGGGTTTTCTGGGTCCCTTGCTCCCACAATTTTTTGCTTTCTTTCCTTTCTTTTAATTTCACCTACTTTCTGTCTGAATTTTCTTTCATTACTTGTCTCACCTTTTTAAACCAGGAACTTCACGCTGATTATAGGTCTAGGATGATGCATAATGCTATTTATGCTACAAAAGCATTCTAGGTAAAATGGGCAATGATCCTTGTAAACTTTGTATTTCTTAATCATCAAGGCTCTAGCTACAGATGCCTTAAATTGACAGAAAACTGAGATTCCTACATTGATAAAACTGATTCCTACATTGATAGCAAGCACATATGTATAGTCCTTGCTGATTGAAAGAGCTTATATCTTAAAATCATGCTATTCAGGTGGTGATTTTGAATTTATCCTTTTCAAGTCTAGCATGATCTCAGCAGTCACTCCCTTGAGAACTGCTAGAAACCAACCCTATATGTTAAATGAAAGCAGTTTGTAATCACAGCTGTAAAATGATTTAAAACATTGATCTTGAGTTCACTTTATTAGTTAATGGCTGCTGGGACCTTGCCAAAAATGAAGCATGGGAAAAGAGCAAAACTACTATTTATATGGTATCTGTGTGTGAAAATCCAAGGTTTCTGTTCTTAAGTCTCAAATGGTAGTTATTTATAAATCTCCTTAACCACAGAGGCTTCAAAACCAGAGTAATATAATAGAATATATGTTTTTAATGTTATGATGTGGCTGTGAACAAGCAAGGTGATAAAGAAAGAGTATTTAAAAAAAGAGTTTGTATTAATCTCAATTCCTCCATCCACCCACTTCTCCCATTCAGCAGTTCAGCAGTTCCCTCTTAGCTCAAGGAAAAGTGATTTACAGACCCTTATCTATACATAGAAGTGCTGCTGTGTCTGGATAGTGGTAGTATAAATATGTTATGTATATATATAGCATATGTAATATACCTATACAGGAAGATACTGTGGGCTGCAGTAGATGGATAAGGCAATCTTTGAAAGCTGTCCTGTGCACGCTGTTAAATAATGATAAAAGCCAAATTGTCTGTTTTCACACATTTGAGATAGATGCTTGTTCATTACTAAAATAACTTGTAGATTTCATTCATATTAAGTTCTTAAGTTATTATAATTATTTTCACTTTGTTTGAAAAATATAATAACATTTTCCATGCATAAAGATGAAATTGGGTTTTGGGTTTTTTTTTTACTGCCTCCTAGTGAGGTCTTTTTGTAGCCATTACATTGACATTTAATTTCACCAACATCTATCGGAACATCCAATGTTTAGCAGTGCTTGGATGTAACCATGATATCCCAGACACAAATTTGATACTGTCTTGTAAGGTATAACTCAGTGACTTTGGCATCTAATTTTTCAGTAACAGTAGAAAAGTAGCCTCAGACATGCTCTTTTGTATGAGGAACGCTTTTAATGAAAGAAGCTGCTTCAGAGAGGCTGAAAAAGTTAATAATTTTTTTTTTACTCAGAATCCTGGAAGTTGACTTTTCTTATAGCCACAGGATAGGGAGGTAAGTGGAGTTTAATGTGTCATTTAAGAAGTCACAACCCTTTCAGCTGGAGTAGGCCCCACAGCCTCTTACAATGGCACCTGAAAATTAAATGCCCTGTCCCATAACTGCAAGTACACTTGTCGCATAAAATTTTGCTGATCCCTGTTATGCAACAGTCAGGTATTTGGTCACGGTACAGGGGGTGACTGCATTTCAGCCATGTCGTGAGTGTACATCAGGGCATATGACAGCAGGCAAGTGGTTTTCATCACTAGGTGTAGTGCCTGTGACCAGAGATTGCTCCATTTTGTTGTCCAGTGCACAGATTGCAAGGACATTTGCAAAACAAGAATTAAACAATGGTGGGGTTTGGACAGCTTTTTTTCTATAGGCCAGGTTGATAGGGTCCCCAGATCAGACACTGTGGACTGGTCATTTAATTCCACAACAATTTCAGTATTACTGTGGAGTATCAGTCCCAAATTCGGAGATGAGAAAAGAATCCAGCACTGTTTCATTCTGCAGGAAGTGTATATGTAGTGCGTAAGAGCATGTGCATATAGAGAGAAAGATAGGACATGAAATCATTCCAGTTTAGAAAAATCTCTTACTTGTGTTTCTGTCTTAGATGGCCTTTATATTCTCTGTCCTGTATAACTTGTCTGATTTCTAAGAAGGACAGAGCTCCCATTACCCATTTGTACCTTCTTTACCCTGCTTACTTATTTTCCCAGAGCTAGAAACGTGGTATCTTTGAAATATTTATCCTGTCAAATTTGATTTATATTGACCAGCAAATGCAAAATGAATTAGAGGACAAACAAATGAATTGCATGCATATGCATGGAGTATAGGATTGCATAAGACTCCTTTCCATAGGAAAACAGGCAAAGAAAGATTCCCCACCTTTCCTTTCCATCACTTCCTAACATCAGATA